TGCAGAAGAGGGAGGTTTTGAAGTTTAAAAAAAATGATATTTGTTGGGACAACTTTAGGAGGAAAAGGCCCATGCATGAGTGCAAGAGGCTGCAGGGTGACGTAGGAGCATAGGTGGATGTGCATTTTGAGGTGAGTAGTCTTCTTTTTCTTCCTACCCACAATGCCACCTCACTACAGGTAAGGGACTAGGAAAAAGTAGCGTTAATAAACAGGTACGGTAGCCGAAAGTCATAGAATTACAAAATATCATAGTCGGAAGGGGACTCAGGGGTATCTAGTCTACCCTATGCTGGATGGGAATCACTTCTATGATGTCCCTGACAAACTTGATGACTTTCACAAAAAGACAACCTGCCACCTTCCAAAGCGGCACGTTCCATTCGTGGACTGCTCCAATTTGTGTAGGGAGTTCTTGGCGAGGAACTTCCTCTACCAATTGGTTTCTTCTCTTCAATTTATTGTCTCAGGGTTGCCTGGGACACTGAAAAGGGAAGTGACTTGTCCAGGTTCACACAGCCAGGATGTGTCAGAGGCAGGACCAGAACCCAGGTCTTGATGACCGTGAGGCCAACTCTGTACCCACTACAGCCAGCTGCCTCTCGTCTTTTCCTAATATTAAGCCAAAATCTGCCTCTTCAAATTCTACCTCTTGGTTCTAGTTCTGCTTTTGGGGGCCAAGCTCAGTAAGTCTAACCTCTCTTGAACATCTTCACCTGGCACAGTTTTCAGTTCACTTCGGATGCTCCATAGGTTGTCAACATCTTTCCTAACAATAATAGTAGCTAACATTTATATGTGCTGAACACTTTACAATTATGATCTGACTTGATCCTTATGACCATTCTGCAAAGTATTACTATCCACATTTTACAGATGAGGAAACTGAGGCACACACAGGTTAAGTGACTTACTCAGGGTCACATAGCTAGTAAGTGTCTGAGGCTAGATTTGAACTCAGGTCTTCCTGACTCCTAGTATTCTATCTACTGTGCCATCTAGCTGCCCAGCTTCTTAAACTTAACTCTCATCTCTCTCGTTCTGGTTTCTGTGCTTTTATTGACATAACTGAATTTGGCCAAATATACTTTTGTTTCACATGAGTTAGTAGGCAGGGGAAACTGCTAGTCTAAGTGTTTTTGTGCAGGGAGTTGGTCTTTCTTTTACACTTTCATTTTTCCATAATGAACTATTAAGTGCATTTAATGATATCATTACATTGATTATGTAGCCATGGGGAGGGTACATGACTTGTGTCTATTTCTCATATTCAGTCATCAAAGAGTTTATGGGAAAATGAGGATTTTAAAATACAGTAATTTGATATTACTAGAAAATGGAAAGATTTATCATATTTCGGGCATGGATTTATGTGTAAATCTCAACCAAAAAGGACATTTTTTTCTTTATGCCCAGTCTTCTGTAATGACATGGTTTCATTATGTTTGTGCTAAGCTATTGGGCTGTGTGGGCTGTATGGAGATTTGGCTACAGAGGCAGCCCAGGGCATAGAGAATCCTGATGAAAATGAAATCTGTTCTCTGAGAAACACTACCTCAGGCTGATCTCTAACAGGGATCATGTTTATGAAGAGATAAACTCAAATTCTCTTTGACATATTTGTTAACTGATTTGAAAGTTTTGCCTTGAATTGGAACATTTATGGAGGCAGTATAGTTAGGCTGCTGAAATAGGCCTCATGAAGGCCCTTGTCACTGGTAGCGTTACACCAATGTCCTCCAGCCAATTTAACCCTTCATTAACCTGTCCTTCCAACATCTTTTCAAATACAGTGATATCATCCAGATACATCAAGGCTTCTGAGTATCAGTTCTGGTCACCAACCACCTTCTCTGGGAGATACTGAAAAATGGCAGGGGCCCCAGAACTCCCTCAGGGCATGTGTTCAAATTGGTGGAATCCTTCTGGGCAGATGAAGGCCATCTTCTCCCTGTCTTCCTCTGCCTTGGGGATGATAGCACTGGCTATCAAGGTCAGTTCTAAGAACCACTGACTGTCTAACAGCCAGCTCAGGGCTTCTGACCTCATGGCACGGTGTACTGATCTACCTTAGTAATTCTCTTGTTTCAAGTCTGATAATCTTCACTCATCCAGATCTCTTTGGGCTTTTCCCCTATCACCACTGTGGGTGAGGGATCCTGACTATGGGACTCTGTGATGATGCCATTCCTTCAGGTGGGTCCTAAAGTCTTCCATCTCAGTGAGGACATTTCTCTGAGGCCACTATCCAAAAAGACCAGGAGCTGTCGGGAGGGATTATGTGTGTTGTGCATCCCACTCACACCATGAAGAACATTCCAGATCTCATATTAAGTCTTGGGGTACTGGGGAATCACCAAAAGCTGCACTTTTCTGGGTTAGGTAGATAGCTCTATGGTTCTTTCATGCCCTCTGAAACCTCTGGCCCCTATCTCCTTGTATGTTTCTTTAAAAAATTAGATTGTTGGGGTGTCCAGGTATTGACCCCCTACTTGATGTTTGCAAAGTTGCCAGTCCTTTTAACAGGCTGGAGTTTATTCCATAGATGTTCCCAGGTATTGGCTTACTAAGAAGGGAAATATGAAGAGAACAAGGCAACAGCATGAAGAAACCGCAGTGAAAGTGTTAGACTGCCTAGGATGCTCTGCTCTGAAGCCATAAGAGAAAAAAGCCTTCTCTTGGCTGTGGCAGGAGTAAGGCCCAACTGTAAAGCTGCTTTTTGGCTGGGTGTTCATTTTCTCCCCTCCTTCCCAGTGTCCTGCTCAAACTTCCTCTTAGCCCACCCCCCTTACAAGAGTTTGCACCCAGCCTCTCACCAAGTGTGCAAACCTACCTATCCACTAGGGTAGCATCACAACCTACTGTGGTCTGCACCTACTTACGGGGAATTTAATTCCCAAAAAGAACCTTTTTCTATAGGAGGGATTATATTTTTCTTCCTTGCTCCATAGGGCATAACTAGAATCAATGGACAGAAACTATAGGGAAATTAACTTCATTATAAGTGGTCCAGGGGCTTCCAAGAATGTAATGGGATGCCTCGGGACATAATATAATGAGTGAGGAGCAGAGACAAGACCAGAATTCTGGTCTCCTGCCTTCCATTCTGTCCCTGCACAGTAACATGGATGCTCAAGGTCTCCTTATGCCTCTGGTCGGTGTGTTCCTTTTCCTCATATCGAGCCTTCAGGGAGATCAGAAACTTGCCAGTCAGGCTTTCTCATTATGGCCCCCCATATTGGTATTGCTGCATGGGTAGAGGCCCTAGAACCCAGAACATGACTCAACTCTCTGCTGCACGTGCCTAGACCACACCAAATCCTTGTTCATCTAGTGGGCCTGCCAACCTTAGCCTGGAGAATAGAAAATTTAGGAAGACAATGTTTGCTATTTTCTAATACCTCTTCTTGTAGAAAGGTGGCTTGCTTCTCTTTGCCTCCAAAAGGCACCACTAGAAACAATGGGTAGAAATTGTAGAGAGGCAGACTTTGGCTCAATGTAAAGAAAATTTTCCTAGTAATTAGTGAGCTCCCTATCACCAGAGGTCTTTAAGTGAATGGCCACTTGTTGGGGATAGGACAGAGGGGATTTCTTATCAAATATAAGTTAGATTAGACACCCTCTAAGGAATGTCCTTTCTAAGTTTGAAGTTCTGTGATTCTATGATTCCCCTCTCTTTCCCTTTCCTCAAACCTCCCACCCCTACTCCTACCCCTTAGTGCTGAAAAGACATCCTTTCTAGGTCAGTACCTGTGAAGCTCCTTCTCTGCTTTACGTTGGTACAGGGCCTCCTCTCTGTAGAGTGCTGCGGCATTGAGTTTCACAGGGATGTTGTCAGGCTGTCAGAGAAAGGAGGGCACAGAACTTGGTTTAGTCATGTGAGTCACAACGTTTAGGACCCAAATGCTTTCAAAGGAAAAAGAAAGCTGAGGCTGGCATTCCTGTCCCCTTAGATCCCATACCAAACAGAGGCACAAACAGAGCTTAAAGCTTGAATTGAAAACTCTCAGTGGACAATGCTGACAGCATTGTCAAGGCCTGCCAGATGAACTAAGTTTTTAGTATTTTTCTTGACACAGAGAGCACTGAATGTTCATAAGAGTATGTGGTGTAGGGGGGAAATCACTTCTCTGACCAGCCTGCCCCATAAAGGGCTCTCTCTCTCTCTCTCTCTCTCTCTCTGTCTGTCTGTCTATCTCTGTCTCTGTCTCTCTGTCTCTGTCTCTGTTTCTCTCTCTCTGTCTCTGTCTCCCTGTCTCTGTCTCTCTCCCCCTCCATCTCTTGCTCTCTGTGTTTCTCTGTCTCTGTCTTTCTGTCCGTCTCTGTCTCTCTTTGTCTCTGTCTCTGTGTTTGTCTCTCTCCCCCCCTTTCTCTCTCTCTTCCTCCCCCTCTCTCTCTGTCTCTCTCTTTCTCTCTGTCTTCCTCTCTGTCACTGTCTCTCTCTGTCTCTGTCTCCCCCCCCAAAATCACATAGTATTTTCAATCTGTGCCATCCATTTATCTCTTGACATAGTCTGCCATCTATCAATTATCTTTCTATGGGTAATGGTTTCTCTCTCTTCTGTGAGTTCCTTGAGGTCAAGGGCATTGTCCCCCACAGGACCCAAGGCAGTGCACACACTTAGTGTTAAGTAAGGATTTGTTGATTAATTTGTCAGATTTTGCAGAGGGAAGTTGATAAGGAAAAATTATTTTTCCTATGAAGATTAAAAAAAGAAACATTTATTGAGTGCCTACTATGTACAAGGCATTTGCTGAATGCTACGGATATGAAGATGAAACAAGACTTGTCCCTTCTATCAAAGAGTTTACAATCCACTGGGGAAAGCTTACATGTGCACAGATAAATATGAGAGAAGGAAGAGTACATGGTATAGAGGCAAAAGACAGATCCAGACAAAATGTTCTAGGAAAATTTGAGGAAGGATAGGTCACTTTCAGCTGGGGAAATCTGGAAAGCCTTTTAAAATTCCATCTGGAGGCAGAGCCAGGATGGCAGAATAAAGACAGAGACTCACTTGACCTCTCCCAAATTCCCCTCCAAATAACTTTAAAGTAACACCTCAAAATGAATCCTGGAGCAGCAAAACCAACAAAAGGATGAGGTAAAACAATATTCCAGCCCAAGATAACCTAGAAGATTGGCAGGAAAGGTCTGTCTTGCTGGGGTAAGAGAGGAGCACAGTCCAGTGCATGCCACAACCGGCAAGGCAGCAGTGAGGCCCTGGGCTCATGTACAAGGAAGCCGGTAGCAGGCCACACCTGGCACAAGCTAGCAGCAGGCCTTGGGGGCAACTGAATCAGTAGCAGTGATTCCTTTGCTCGATTGCCCATACTTGGTTCCAGGTTGCAATCCCTGGGCAAAAAGGAACATTAGCACATTAGAGTTCCTAGCCATAGGGGAGTGGGGACCCTGGTCACAGTTCCAAGGCAAAAAAAGAGTACTTGTGGTCACTCACAGAGCAGAATATGGGCCAGAAGAGCAGTGACCACACCTTTCCTTAGATCTGACCACACCTCTCCTTAGATCAGACCACCTTGAAAAGAACTGAAAACTTACAGATCCTCATTATTAGCTTTGAAAACAACAGAACAAAAAACCTGAAGCTAGGGACAGTGCCCCCTCCACCCCAGAAACAGAGCCCAACTTTAACATAAAGTTAAAAGTCAATAAATGAGCTAGAAAACAACAACAAAAAGAACTTGACCATAGAAAGTTACTATGGTGACAGGGAAGCTCAAAACACAAGCTAAGAAGAGGACAACAATATCAAAATGGCTACATGTAAAACCCCCAAGGAAAAATGTAAATTGATCCCAGACCCAAAAAGAACTCATGGACAATCTCAAAAGGAATTTTAAAAATCAAACAAGAGAGGTAGAGAAAAAAATGGGAAGAGAAACAAGAGTGATGAAAAAAGAAAATAACAACTTGAAAACCAGAATAAACCAAATGGTAAAAGAGGCACAAAAATCCACTAAAGAGAACTCTTTAAAATGCAGAATTAGCCAAATGGAAAAGGAGGTAAAAAAGCTCAATGAAGAAAATAATTCCTTAAAAATTAGAATTGGGCAAGTGGAAATTAATGACTCCATGAGACATTAAGAAGCAATAAAACAAAGTCAAAAGAATGAAAAAATAGAAGACAATATGAAATATATCATTGGAAAAACAACTAATCTGGAAAATAAATTGAGGAGAGATAATTTAAGAATTATTGGACTACCTCAAAGCCATAATAAAAAAAAAAGTCTAGACATCCTCTTTTAAGAAATTATTAAGGAAAACCACCCTGATATCTTAGTACCAGAGGGTAAAATAGAAATCAAAAGAATCTACCACTCACCTCTTGAAAGAGATCCCCAAATGAAAACTCCCAGGCATATTATACCCAAATTCCAGAACTCCCAAGTCCAGGAGAAAATACTACAAATAGCCAGAAAGAAACAATTCAAATATCATGCAGCCACAGTCAGGATAACACACAATTTGGCAGTTTCTACATTAAAGGATCAGCGGGCTTGGAATATGATATTCTAGAGGAATCAGAGGGAGTTAGGATTACAACCAAGAATCACCTACCCAGCAAAACTGAGTATAATCCTTCAGGGGAAAAAAATGGATATTTAATAAAACAGAGGACTTTCAAGCATGCCTGATGAAAAGACCAGAGCTGAATAGAAAATTAGACTTTCAAATATGAGACTCAAGAGAAGAGTAAAAAGGTAAACAGGAAAGAGAAGTCACAAGTGATTCAATAAGGTTAAAATATTTACATTCTTACATGGGAAGATAATACATATAACTCCTAAGAACCTTATCATTATTAGGGCAATTAGAAGGAGTATCTATAGACAGAGGGCACAGGTGTGAGTTGATTACGATGGAATGATATCCAAAAAACAAAACAAAACAAAATTAAGGGGTAGGGAGAGGGATAAGAGGGATAGAGAGAAGGGAAGGAAGATTGGGTGAGGAAATGGTCAAAAGCAAAACACTTTTGAGGAGGGACCGGTTAAAAGGGGAGACAGAGAGAAGGGTAAATAGGAAAAAAATAGGATAGAGGAAAATATACAATTGGCAATCATAACTGTGTATGTGAATGGGATGAACCCATAAAATGAAAGTAGGTAGCAGAGTGCACTAAAAACCAGAATCCTACAATATGTTGTTTAAAAGAAACACACTTGAAGCAGAGAGAAATAGAGAGAGTAAAGGTAAGGAGATGGAGCAGAATCTATTGTGCTTCAGCTGAAGTAAAACAAAACAAAATACAACAAAACAAAACAAAACAAAACAAAAACCAAGGGATAGCAATCTTGATCTCAGAAAAAACAAAAACAAAAATAAATCTAATTAAAAGAGATAAGCAAGGAAACCACATCTTGCCAAAAGACCTAGACAATGAAGTAATATCAGTACTAAAGGAAAAGGTAAATGGATTACAGGAAGAAACTGACAGTAAAACTATACTAGTGGGGGGCCTTAACTTTCCCCTCTCAAAACTAGATTATTCTAACAAAAACATAAACAGGAAAGAAGTTAAGGAGATAAACAGAATTTTAGAAAAAGCAGATATGAGAGTCCTCTGGAGAAAACTGAATGGGAATAGAAAGGAATATACCTTTTTCTTAGCAGTACAAGGAACCTACAGAAAAACTGACCATGTATTAAGACATAAAAACCTCATAACCAAATACAGAAAAGCTGAAGTATTAAATGCATCCATTTCAGATCTTAGTGCAATAAAAATAACATTTAATAAAGGGCCATGGAAACAGATTGAAAAATAATTGAAAACTAAATAATCTAATCCTAAAAAATGAGTAGGTCAAAGAACAAATCATAGAAACAATCAATAATTTCATTAAAGAAAATGACAACAATCAGACAACATACCAAAATTTATGGAATGCAGCCCAAGCAATACTTAGGGGAAAATTTATATCTCTAGATGCTTACATCAATAAAATAGAGAAAAAACAGATCAATGAATTTAAAAATAGAGAAAGAGAAAAAAAAGAACAGATCAATGAATTTTTAAAAACTAGAAAAAGAACAAATTGAAAATCCCCAATTAAACACTGAATTGGAAATCCTGAAGTCAAAGGAGAGATTAGTAAAACTGAAAGTAAGAAAACCATTGAATTAATAAATAAAACTAGAAGTTGGTGTTATGAAAAACCAATACAACAGACAAACCATTGGCTAATTTGATTTAAAAAAAGAAGAAAGAAAACCAAATTACCAGTATCAAAATGAAAAGGGTGAATTCACCACTAATGAAGAGGAAATTAAAGCAAAAATTCAGAGCTATTTCACCCAATTAAATGCTGGTAAATCTGAAAATCTAAGTGAAATGAATGAATATTTACAAAAATGTAAGTTGCTCAAATTAATAGATGAGGAAGTAGAATGCTTAAATAATCCTGTTTTAGAAAATGAAATTGAATATGCCATCAATGAGCTTCCTAAGAAAAAATCCCCATAACCAGATGGATTCACAAATGAATGCTACCAAACATTTAAAGAACAATTAATTCTAATACTACATAAACTATTTAGAAAAATAGGCAAGGAGTCCTAGCAAATTCCTTTTATGACATAAATATGGTGCTGATACCTAAACCAGGAAGAGCTAAAACAGAAGAAGAAAACTATAGACCAATTTCCCTAATGAATATTGATGCAAATATTTTAAATAATATACTAGCAAGGAGGCTACAGCAATATATCACAAAGATCATACACTATGAGCAGGTGGGATTTGTAACAGGAATGCAGAGCTGGTTCAGTGTTAGGAAAAGTATCGGCATAATTGACCATATCAATAACAAA